TGTCACAGCACTGACTAAATAACAGTCGAAATGTATAAAGTGATGAGTACCATTTAAATCAATGAAGGTGACACTTTCTATGAATAGGGTACAAAACAGGGACTGAAAAAAATAGGGTTAAGCTAAAATTATTTGAGCTGTTTTATTTTCTACTCATTTTTTAACAAATATAGTTTAAAACTAATTAGTGTGATTTTGTTCTACCAATAGACATTAAATTAAATGGCTATTATCAGCCTGCTTCATAGTTAGTGTTCTTTTTAGTGTAGGTGATTCCTATGACTACTTAAGCATAATAAATACGTTGTTAGATGTGACTCACCACATCCAGAGACTTTTAAAGGTCAATAATGCGTTGATAGCTATAAATGTCAGGTAGAGGAACATATAAGTATTCTCCTTTCATCCTGGCACATGTGAACGCTTCATGTTTTAAACATGCGCCTGGAACCTCTATTAATATATCTGTCCACTCCTCAGTGTTCCATCTCTAATGATTTAACAGAGTCGTTGTATATATGCTCCTCATCTGACAAAAGGACACGATGCCAATGTTTGGCCATTCATGAGAGGGAAAAAAGATTGAATACAATGTATGAAAAGCACCGTGTCTCTCGTTGCAGTGTAAGAGTGACAATGCCGCCTTGTTGCTATGGAACCCCTCTGTTGCTAAGCAATGAGTTGATGATTAGAATTTTGAATCGGGTGGAAGAGTGGTATTTTCTTCGCCACTCTATTTCTCCATGTATGGTGTTGTGCGTGACTGCGTTGATCAAAGGCATGTGGGCCTGTCCTTACTCTAATTCACATGCAATTGCCTTTTTCTACCATGCATTATGCAAACATTTACTTATAAAATGGTTTTAAATGTATTAATATAATATTTATAGGACAATACATATCTATCTATCTATCTATCTATACACACACACACAAACACACACACACACTTCAGTCCTAGCGCATTGATGTCTTGTCTTTGGAATAAAACAGAATGCTTTACAGCAAATGCAGAAAGATGCAATAGCCCTGCAAGACCCTTTAGCGTCAGTAGAGGGTGGTCTAGGGCACCTCACATAATCCTACCTATGGTAAGGGATTCCTTACCTATGTATTTGTTTTGCACAAACTGCACAAACATATTTATATTATGCTCTGTTATGTTGTGAAAGCTCATCAACTTCTGAACTAATTGGGGCGATAAATTCTTGGCAATCCACTGTTATGCCGAAGACTTGCGGCTATACATCACCCAGATCGACTGCTATGAGTTTCCTTCGCCCCCCACCAGTAAGCACTTTCAGCTCTGTCCTAAGGAAAGAGGTTCAACACAAACGCTAGGCATTACCGTCATCATTACCTGCAGGAGAGATACATTGCTGTGTCAGTGAAAACCTGCTTTGGGAAAAAGCGGCGACCCATGAGAATTCAGCCCAGGACACAGTATTCTTGGCACTTGTGTTCCGTCAGATGTGCTATTTTTGCTGTTTCTACCTGGTTTTCTCTGTGTTGGGGCCGGGCTCCATGTGATCTGCCTACAGTTTAGCAAAACAAAGGCATTTGGGGAGCAAAGTGGTCCTCTGAATGGAGATAGCATCTCTAGAGAAGCCACCTGCCTTACATTTGTCATTTAAATATGTATACAGATGATGGTGCCATCTGCCAGTGCAGTTGGAGAGGGAAAAACTGGTGAAAACACACTGAACTCCTGAGGTGGTGGTGATGGGTTTTAGAAAGGGGCATGTACAGGTGCTCTGGAGCATTAACCAACTACATTCAAAATGTTAAGGTATTCAAAAGTAGCAAGGGCGCAAATAGTCCTATTGAACATTTGACAGCTTCAGGTTGAAATGATCAGCCATTGTGTGCTCTTGGTGTTTGTTTAGAAAAAGCAGCATACTTTCATTTTAAATGTCATTATATGCAGTCGAAATACATTCCTGATGAATGCCCTTGTTTCTTTTTATTATCAAATCAGAGGAAATATTCCCGGATCAGGACAAGTTAAGATCAGTCAACAGAAGTTGTGGCATAGTGTTTTTGGGAACCTTTTTTTTTCTCTCTCTGTGAATGTGGTTTTGCAAATTAAGGGACCAGTTGTAATTATTTGGTAAACGGCAGCATGTCACAGATGCTCGTGAACATCTTGAACCTGGAACATTCTTTTAAGCTGTGGCAGCACAAGTGTTAATAAGGAAGATGGCTAACATTCACTTCCTAATAATCGGAGTAGTAGGAGAGTAGGCCAAAACACACCTTCTCTGTAAGAGCCTCTGACACAGGTAAGTGGTTTTATTTCGAGATGCGGCATGGAAGCCGAGGGAGAGTGTATATCCGGGGCACCGTTCTCCAATGTTCCTTCGTTTCATGGAAGCCCGGGTCAAAAATATGTAGCGGTAGGAGCATGCGGAAGATTTCAGACTTCACTGTTTACAACTAGCCAATGAATGTACTTTGACATCTCCTGGGAAAATTCTTGCTGATTGCCTTCACAAAGCGCCCAGGAAAATGGCTCCATTTTTTTCCTTTGCTCCACGAGCGCCGTTTCTCTCTCTTTCTCTCAATTTTCAGATTTTATGAGGTGGGGTGAGAGAGTAACAGAACTGCGGGCATTTAAGAGTGAGGTGGGATGCCGTGCAAACATGTCAACGTGAAAAGATGAGGGTGAAAAGTACCACTGCACAAAAAAAGATGGAGAGGATACACAGAGAGATGGAAGACTGCACTCTCAGTCAAGTGCCCAGTAAATATTTCAAAGCTGCAGTCAGAAGAACGCCTTTTTTGGATGGCATTTTAGAGATATTTTTAAGACAGCACAGAAGATGGATGACCTTTAAGGGACCATAAATTGTACAATAATAAAGGTATATAATAGCAGAACTCAATCAACTGATTCATTGAAAGATCCTCAAAAGACTGATTCCCTTATGAATCTATCAAGAACTTATGAATGTGTCAAGGAGAACATTTGGATATTCTAAGTCTTATTGTGCATGATTGGTGCATGTTTGTCCAAATATATGATTGATTGATTATTTATTTATTTATTTACTTTGTAATCTTAAAAATGTAATAAATTTATCTTTCTCTGAAATGATTTTTTTTTCCCTGATGTTGCTTTGGCCATCTGATTTTTTTGAAGATAAGATAAGATAAGATAAGATAAGATAAGATAAGATAAAATGAAATAAGCCTATTCAACTGAACTACATTAACCACAGAGCACTTTAAACGCAGATTAAATACATTCTGAAGCATTTTGTAAAAGGCCAGGCCAAACAGACAAATAAATAAATGTAAATCCATATACATGGATTATTTACTACATGTAACATTTAAATGCATTTCATTTCATTTATGAATGCATTTGTCACACTGCAAGCCTATTTAATTTAACCAGGTGATTAAAATGGCGAAAATTTAAAATAAAACATCAAATTAAAAAAAGACTTAAATTAAATTAAATTAAATTAAATTAAATCAGTTTCTCTTCTTTTTTGTAGTGCCTGACCAGTGTTTTTGTTGACTGGCGATGACAAAATGATTCAGCGATAAAAATTAAGTTGTACTGATTGTAAATGTTTCCCAAGCAGCACACAAGTGGATTAGTCTGACTAAACCCTCACCACTAAGACAATGCAATATTTAGTCAATTAGTCATGCCAAGTATTTGAAGGAAATGTATTTTTGAGTAGAGGTTTAAAACTTAAAACCTCACATTACTGTGAATATTTTTAGTGAACAATTGGCAATTTATATATGAACCTATTAAAGAAAGGCACATTATTTGAGGTAAATGCTTTAGCTAAATAATGAATGTCATGAGCAAATTTGGCCCATTGTCATCTTTTTTTTTCTTTGTAGCTATGTGGTCTAGGCTTTATTACATTTTTTGGAGCATTTTTTAACACAGGCGTTCTCACTTGCACCCACACTCAGAAAAGGCAAACTCCGTCAATGTTTATAAGGTTGTTTTTCTCATAATAGTCTCAGTCTAAGACCGCACACCCACAGTATGTTCACTGACCGTCTGATGCATATTGCACACAAAACTGGAAAGCTTTTTTTTTTTTTTTTTTTTTTTTTTTTTT